AGAGAGAGAATACGGTACAAAGCCTTTGAAATAAAACATATTTTGGCTGCAAGTTGAGCTGTATATCTGACACCTTCACAGAACTTTGGTAATGCTTTCTTGGACTTCTGGAATTAAGGTGGCCATTACGATCCTCTCCTTGCAGAGCATCTTACAACAGTTGAAATATCAAAGAAGAAAAAAGGCGCATACAAGTTTACTATATATCACCAGAAAGTCAAAATGAATGCATCCAATGTTGGGTATCAAAAGCGACAAACGAGCTTTTGAATGAAAGAGCGGAACATGTGTGGTCTGTATACTGGTGCAGAGGATCACATTTGAAGACAGTGATCACTTGCCACATACTTTCCCTGTGGCTGTCATAATTTGAATTAGCGTGTTGTGCATTCTGCAGAAAGCTATTCAACAGTCATAACGTTCTTTGGAGTTATGCAGAAGCTGTATAACACTTTTAGCTCCAGTCTACATAGGTGGGAACTTTTGAAGCAAAACATTCCCAGCTCTTTGCACAGCACGTGTCAGACACGTAGGTCAGCCCGTGTTGACAGTGCCAGGCCTTCTGCGGATCACGTCGGGGGATTGAGGAAAGCTGCTCAAAGTTTCAAATTAACCGCCCCCCAGAAACACGTTCAGATTTGATCGGTATTCTTAAGTACTTGGTATCATTTGAATGTGTGATAATGACATCTGTTTGGCACAAAATCTTCACAGCAATCGATCACAGTATCGTAAATAACGTGCTTCAAGCATGAGATGCAACTGTAGACATTGAGGTGGCAGATATCAATAGTCTGATTAGATCTGAAAAGCTTACGAGATGAATGGGACGCAATCTTGAGTGAGTCCAAATTAGTAGCAGATAACTATGAGATTGAGCATATATTTGCTGAAACAGCAAAACGACAAAAGAAAAGGAAGCTTTTTTTTTTCCAGACGAGACAGAAGACGTAACAGACTACCAAAATCCCGAGAACAAATTCAAACATGAAGTTTTTTATGTCCTCATTGACAGCCTTCTTGGAAATTTGACGACAAAGTATAATGCAGTGACACAACTCGATTCGTTATTTAGTGTTTTGTGGAAATATCTCCAAGAGGTAGTTGGTGTTATTCGTGA